GAGGGGAGAATCGCCTAAATCTTGTTTTTCGCAACGTGGAATCTCATCTTCGCCTACTAAACAAAGAGAATGTTCGTTGTCAGCAAAGTTGAATTTTATTATTGACTTATTCAAATCTATTGACATCCTTGTGAAAGTCATGAAATCGTAACCCAAAATCATTTTGAACGGCAGTTGATTTACGACCCAAAATTCGTAGTTCCAGGAAAAATCGCCTAATTTCAAATGAATTGTAGCTTCGTATCTGACGGTGATTTTGTGCTGTGACGCAGTACCCATAGAATGACTTACCTTATTTACATTTGACACCAGTTGTTTATCTTTCAACATATTGAATAATTCTTTACTAATTAATGACCTACTACTACCAGAGTCGATCAAAGCAATGCATTTTACTGAGCTGTCGAACGTAACATGAGCAAATGGCAACTTACCACTTAAGTCTACGGCTTCCATTTTGTTTTTGTTGGGGATGGTCGCGAGTTTTGTATGACACCGGGCCCCCTCGTCGATGTCATTTACCAGTTTAAAGAGCTCCTACAGTTTCTGGCTAAATGTCCTTCCTGATTGCAACGAAAACATTTTATGATTCTTTCGGCGGGTCTATTCCTGAGATCGTTGGAGTCGTTACGACGGGGAAAAGGTTGTCGGGGTCTCTGAGAAGGAATAATTTGGGGTGGGGGTGTGTGAAATTGTGGTGTGAAAATCGTCGGTCCAAAATATCGAGTTTCCGCCCTGACGGCACTTGTAACTCTTGTAGCTAGTCTACGAAGTTCTTGAATTGTGTTTGGCCTAGAATCGAACGAAAAATGAGATTTTGTTTCCGGCCTACATTTATTCAGCGCTATTTCTATGACGTCGTTTTCAGACAAGTTTGTTTTGAGAGCAAACGCAGTAGATAATAAATGTTCACAATAATCTGAGAAAGTTTCTTCGATGCGTTGTGGACGATCTAACTCTATTGACTCTATTTCTCTTCGTCGCATTGATGGGATAAATCTATCTAAAATTTCGACGTGCAAATTATTCCACCCTGATTGAGCACTTACGGACTCAATCCATAATTGAAACAACTGACCTTTGACCTTTGGTAAGAGAAATTTAATTATTTCATTGTCGTGGAACGGAGATACGTTAAAAATCGGCATTAAATCTTTAAGGAATGTAACCAACTCAAATTCATTCGATGCATCGACGTCCTTCAACTTCCTCAAAAGTTCCATTATTACAATAGAATCTGTTTTTGACAATCCCTGATGAACGAAGTTACCCTGCAATTGATTCGCCGGTACCGGAGCTACGAAACGAATTTGTTCGTGGTTCACGGCACGAGGAGACGAAGTGAAATTCGAAGGAATTGCATTGTTTTCGACCCTTGGTTCAATCGCGCGAATTGACGATCGTCGATCTCGAAAGGTTCCCTCATCAATCGTGACATACTCTGTGGCCGTCGAATCAAAAGTGAGATGCGAACGTGAGTGCACAGCTTGTTCCAACACGTCATTATCCAAATCCAACAAACAATTACTGTTCGACATGTTCAAATCGCCGACTACATTGTTCGCAATATGCTCTATTTCTTCTCCTACAAATGTGACGTGACCCGCGCGGAACGAATCGGTGGGGGGGGGAGGGGAGACATGGTTGATACGAACGTTTCCTGTTTCTGCGTGTGATGCACCAACCCTACCGGACACAAGCCCTTCATCTGACACATGACACCTGTTTGCCATCCTCTGAGCCCTATCGCTTGCCGTAGTTACGTAATTGGGACCGTACAATTGACGTCTCATTTTTGAATTGACAAAAGCTTTTTTTAAATCAAATTCGCAAAAATGCAATCGACCTCAGTTTTATAAATTACACAAAATATTTCAATTTTCCCTATAAGTAAATATAAATAATCACTGACAAATAGACACAGATAATAAATAACCAAGTAAACACTGCAATATGAACGGGTATAATCTGTCTTAAAGATAACAAGTGACAAGATAATAAGATTCTGAGGGTCAATATCAATCTTATCTACGCCAATCTGTCCGTAGAAGAGCCAATCTGCCTTGTTACCAGACCTCTCAATATTAGTGCTATCACTTTTTGTAAAGAAAAATAAAAGTTCTTTACTTATATTCAAAATATTCTCTTTACTTAATTGATCATTCCATCAACCAAAATCACCTCACACCTTTATGTAATGCAATTTGGCTATTCCATACAGGTGTGAGTGTTATAAAAAGTTGCCCCTGGTAGGGTTTGAAAAGGTGAGATTTAATTTATTTAATCAGACTACTGAGGACCAATCACAGAGCCGGCAGTGGAAGTAAGATGTTGTATTGAGCCCTGGTAATTGTGTATCCCAGAAGTCCGATTTATGGACCGTGAGAGGTCTGATATGTCCTCCTGAAAGTACCTTCAATGATCTTAAATATAACACTTCTTAAGATGTAATAAAAGTATACCAAACACTCTGAACGCAAAATACACTCTTTGTTGAAATTCTGTTAAAACATGGCTATGACTCTGTATTATTGAAACGATAATGCCAAACACTGATTGAACTAATATGTAATAAATTATGTATTGACTGACTATTTAATGATATTGTGTTTTATTGCAATTGTTCGGTTAAGCCGATTACCTTGACAAGATTAACACAGGAGAATTAATAAAATTGTTGAGAGAATAAGCTTTGTGTATTGTCAATTTAAATATTTACAAATATTACAAATAATCAATAATAATATTCAAGTTTCTGCTATAATTACACTTCAATTGTATAGGGGAGAGTATTGATTGTGGTTTTTTTTTACTTTCTTTCCTGAGATACTGACAGCAGAGCCTCGGGAACCTAGGTTTGATTTATTTAATCTGTTTTTTTTTTTTTTAGGCTATCAGGCTTCCCAAATTTGTGTATTTATTAACAACTGGCCAGTTGATCTTAATATGCAAAGGGGCTATTCGTAATCCTGTGTACAGCACACTTTGTTGCTCAGTGGCAAACTGGGCCAAATCGACTACTGAGTCGATTGTTTAATTTTGGTTAATAAAATTACTTTTATGGCGTTAATGGAAGCCTACCCTTATAGCCTGTATTGAAACCTACCCTTCAACCGGGACAATGCTCTGATTGAAACCTGAATTTGTACACAATCAAATACTCTCAGAGATCTCTTTATGTATTTTAGAAGTGATTTAAAACCTAAATATTTAAGCAAGAACAAATTATAACAGTTTTACGTGACAGACAGCTGATATCCTAACGATATAAATTGAAGTTAAGTACAAAATTACAATATGAAATTTAACTGGTATAAAAATTTACCCAAATTATTAATATAACAATACCTACAAATGTATCACAGTATGTATTTTAAAATAAGTAAATGGCAATAACTTTAAAGCAATGTGACTGAATTACACACTAGGACATGAAACCTGCGAGAAACATGATCAAACAAATATGAATGTGGACAGATTGGCTCGTACTACACAATTAAATACAAATTACACAGAACATTTACTTACATACACAGAAGACAATTTTGACGACACATAAACATATAATTACGACACTGTACTTGGGGTAGGCTCTACGAAAATGGTCAAATTTGACGAATTTTGCCGGTCGACGTCGAACTTAAAGACTCGATTTATTTATTCAATTCGTAATTTAGCAAACGCTGTTTCACGGTTTAAATACCAATGCACTCCGGAAATCGAACAATTGATTTCGTTGACGAAATACACGTTACGACTACCAAAAGTGAGTTTTGCGAATTGAAAAGGAGAATTTAAAGATTTCCGAACATCACGGCTCAGAGCCTAATCCCAAGTGAACCGTTAGAAAGACGTCCACACAAGTCAGCAAGTTGATATTCCTCCGCGCTCACGTGATTGGCCGTTGTTGGTCCTTGCCTTCGCGCGTTTTCTGTTTGATTTGAATTTTCAATCGACTTTTAAACGACAAACGATATCACAACCACATTTGGTATACCGTTACTGGAAATTGTAAGCTACTTTTCTGTGTATATGATGGTCGGATATCACCTTTGGGGGACGGCCCGTCGGGGGTCAGAAGAAAATCTTTAATGACAGCCTATGTTGAGTTGTACATCATTTTAAAGGTCTACTTCAACTGAAAACAATGCCGCAAACCGCACTTCAAAAGGTTGATCCTGCGCAAAATGGACTTAACGGTCACCCTGTATATAAGCCTTCGCAAATACAGTATCTGACAGTTTCAAGCCAAAACAAATCCTTCGAAATTAAATGTAACCTGGGTCGTGATGGTCCATATGTTAAATCCAATGATTAAACTAAAAAATGCTTTATAGATCTATGAGGCATAGCCCTAATGTAGGCCTATAATTGAAAGTTACCTTCCACAATGGTTAAAAGTATTTAAGGTACTACCTCAACCTCCCAATTTAACACTTTATTCGTGTTGACATTTTCATTATAAAGGTACTTTTGTCCATTCCGTGAAACACTGGAAATAAGGACATTAATGCGTTACTAACAGACATACACACAAAAATTCAGAACTTTATTAGGGAATTTGCTACGCTTTAAGACTAACAAAGTACTTGTAAAATTATTAATAGTATCTGAAATATTTGTCAATGTCATCAAATTTCATCATAACAATGTATATTTGCTTGGACCGATGATGACCCGAAATGACGGCTTACTAAATGAAATGAATTGGTAATTTATAGTAAATATTACTAAAATAGGCCATGAACTATTGATACATAAACAACGTAAAGCGTTTAAACAATTAATGATGGTTTGCTGAATAAATGTTTTACTAAAATGCGTTATCTTTTTCTTGGCATAGGCCTAAAGGATAGATGGCTTTGGCGCTTCTATCCTTGTAAAAGGCTTCAGTTCCTGAGACAACCGATATTTAGCGCTTCACTTTCTAAACCTACATACCGAGGAGTTATCTTCTAGACCTCCATAGACCTTCGTTGGATTTACAACCTATTATCAATATGGATGAATGGGTGAAATTAACCATTTTTCTGTGTGTCTACGGGTTCATGAAAGAGATTGGGCCAGATGACCCGTTCATTCTGCATCACTTGGACAACCGAGAGCAAAATGAAGCCAGAATTTGGGAAGTCTTGACCCAGCTGATCCTGACAACCATGCTGTTTTTCTGTGCAGATTATTTCAGATACAAACCATTCATTGTGATTGGAGCTGTCTTTGGATTGGCGGCCCAGATCATAAACTTGGTATCAGAAGACACATTTGCTTTGATGGGTAGGCAATGCCTGTATGGAGCAGCTAAGGCGGCGGAAGTGGCTTATTTCAGCTACATCCATGCCAAGGTGCCAAAAATTAACTACACAAAGGTGACAAGCTTTTGCCAGGCGGCTGCCGTGGCAGGAGGCATATTCTCTGCTCTAGTCTCACTATGGCCACTTCCCGGTTTATGGAGCAACTACGTGACGATCATTGTGTTGGCGTTCGCTGTTTGTTGGCTGGTTTTGCTGCCCAAAGCTGAAACGACCCTCTATTTTCATAGAGCTAGGATCGTCAGCTTAGGTGGCCAGGCTGAAAACATCCAAGCTGGTCCAGCTCCAAAGCCGTCCATCACAGTCGTACAGCAGCTGCTATGGGAAGACTTCAAGGCCGCTTACTACAATCCCTATAATACAATCCCTATCAGTTCAGTCGGGTCAGCCGATCCGATAAGACGTACTGCTCCGCTACCGTCTCGCAACCTCACGTCGCGCTGCTACTTCACGTGTGTGGCGTGTTTGTCTAAACGGCCTTGTGTAGTTAAAAAAGTGCTTTTTACGTACATAAATTAAAATGCCAGCTACCTGTGGCGTTTGCAACGTGGACATTGGCAGCTGCAAGTCTACTGAAGTGATAAGTTGTGCCGGTAATTGCAAAAAATCGTTTCATGTAAACTGTGTGAAAGAAGATATAGAAGAGAAGAAGGTTCGTACAGCAAAGCAATGGAGGTGTAGGGAGTGCCGAGAAGGCAGTGTAAGTTCCGGCTCAAGTACGCCGATAACAAAGGAATTTTTGCTTAAAGTTTTGGACAGTTTAAAAAAAGAACTTTTTACTGAGTTAAAAAACGTAAAAAAAGAAGTTTCCGAAATGTCGCAATCCCTAAATTTTCTTTCAGAAAAAGTGGACGAATCTACCAAATTGATGGAAAATTTAAGATCGGAAGTGCAAGTTCTGAAAAAGGAGAATGAGGTTTTGCGAGAAACAGTCACCGACCTACAAGACCGGACTCGATCACTGGAACAATATACCCGACGCAGCAACATCGAGATTAGCGGTATCCCAGTCACCCCCAGGGAGGACGTCATCCAGTTGGTGAATGACGTGGGTGCAGTCATCGGCCTGGAGGTGGAGGAGTCCCAGATCAACGCAGCACACCGAGTACCCAGCTTCCGCAAAGACCGGGTCCCTTCCCTCGTGGTCCAGTTCATCGGCAGATCCACCAGAGACACGTGGTTGAAACAATTCAGGGAGCTCGAGGAATCTGTGACTGTGGACCAGGTAAACTCGTCTTTCCCAAAAGCGAAACTGTACATTAATGAGCACTTGTCTCCAGCTAATAAGGTGTTTTTGTCTGACTTAAAAAAAAAATGTGCTGAAGTAGGCATAAAATACGCGTGGTGCCGTGAGGGAAAATTCTTTATCAGGAAGGCTGATAAGGATAAGTGTCGCAGGATTTACAGTGAGGCTGACATCAAAAAGCTCAAATAAACCATCGTCAAAAGCAATGGATACATATTGTCCTATATTGAGATCATTTATTGCTTCCAGGGATTTCACTTTCCTTATTTTCATATTTAGTTTTAGTTCCAATTTGAATAGATTTTAAATGTACATATCGTAATTTGTATGGTAGAGAATAGTGATAATTTACTATCCTTAAACAGCAATTTTTTTGAATTAGATGATGTCAACTCAAATAATGTATTCACCTTAATATATTGCAACATTAGAAGCTTACGCCAAAACTTTAATAACTTTTTAATCGAATTTTCTCAATTAGAACAAGATATTACCTTTATTGTATTAAGTGAAGTTTGGATTAACACCGATGAGTTAAATTTATTCAATATTCCAAATTACAACATATTTGCACGTTGTAATGACTCCTACAGATCAGGTGGTGTCATATGTTACGCTTTAAAAGATATATGTGTCACAGAAGCAAATGTTAACAGTATGAGGACTGCTGACACGCTACTCTTAAATATAAAAATTAGTAAACATTATTTTAAACTATTTTGTATATATAGACTGCAAGAGTTTACTGAGAAGGATTTTGTAAACGAACTAGAATCTTATATGAATTATTTTACTACAAATACTATTTTGTTGGGAGACATTAATATCGACCTGTTAGATGGAAAAATAAATTCTAAAAACTATCAGTACCTTTTAGAGAACAATGGGTTTTTATCAATAGTTAAGAATGCTACTAGAATCACAACAAATTCTAAAACACTAATCGACCATATCTTTATTAAACATAGGCAAGTAAATAGTTTTAAGCAAGCAATATTTGATTTGAATATAACAGATCATTGTTTATTGGGTCTTAAATTTAATGACATTTCTTTAGACCAAGACAAAAAAAAAGTATTTTGTGAGAAGCAGACTATAGATTTTGATAAGGTTATTGGTTGTTTAAAGTCTATTAGTTGGGACGAAGTTTTTAATGAAAAAAATATTGATTTATGTTATGAGAAGTTTAATTTAATTTTAACTGACGTTGTAAATAAGTGTTCTAAAACCATTCCAATAGATAAGAATCTTGCTAAGGCCAAACTACTAAGTCCTTGGATGACGACAAGTCTCTTAAAAAAGATAGGTAGAAGAAAAAAACTGTACGTGTTAACTAAAAAAAGGCCATATGATTTAGTTTTAAGAAATCACTATAAAATGTTCTACAATAATTTAAAACTTGAAATGGATACTGTCAAAAAATTGTATTATTCAAATCATATTCGAAATGCTGATGGTGACCCCGCTAGACAGTGGAGGGTCATAAATAGCCTAACTGGTGAAACCCGTAATCAGTGTTTTGATAAGGTTGAACTCGAGGATGGAACTATTGACAGTGACTCACAAAGTGTAGCAGATAGAGTTAATTATTATCTGATGAACATTGTGCAACCTGATAACGATACACCTTCACTGGCCGGCCTGGGTCTACATCAGCATTGCCAATCTTTTTTCATTGTGCCAACCACTGAAAACGAAATTATAGGTGTCATTAATGGTTTTAAAAATAAAAAATCATCGGGTTTCGACAATTTTAATGCATTATTAATTAAAAAAATAGCTCAATACATTGCACCTGTTTTAACCTATATTTTTAATAAAAGTTTTAGTGAAGGTATTTTTCCTACTAAGTTAAAGTTAAGTGTCGTAATACCAATTTTCAAGAAGCCAAACTTAATAAAATTGAACAACATAAGACCAATCAGTCTGCTTTCAACTTTTTCTAAGATATTGGAGAAGCTAATGGTTAACAGACTAGTAAAGTATTTCAATCAAATAAACTTTTTTTCTCAATGGCAGTTTGGGTTTCAGCGAGGAAAATCTACAGAAGATGCTCTGTTGAATTTTACAAATTTAATATATTCAAGTTTTAACGATGGCAATAAAACGACAGGTCTCTTTGTTGACTTTATGAAGGCCTTTGACCTGGTTAACCATAATATCTTACTATTTAAGCTTGAAGCAGCTGGTATCAGAGGTGTGGCGCTCAATTGGTTCCGCAGCTTCCTGACTGGCGGAGAACAGCAGGTACGGGTAGGTGACTGCCTCAGCAGACCACTGCCCGTAACTGTAGGTGTGCCGCAGGGCTCGGTTACCTCAGCAATTTTATTCCTTGTTTTTATTAACGATTTGCTTGACAAGAATTTTAAAGGTCAAATCCAAGCTTTTGCCGATGATATTGGTTTTCTTTATTCTAATAAGGATAAGGAAGTTTTAAAAATGAATTTAATGTTTGATTTAGACATACTTCAAGATTGGTGCTTAAAAAACAAAATGAAAGTTAATGTTAGTAAAACAAAGTTTATAAATTTTGGCTACAGAGAATTTTCTTTTTCAGCTCCTATTTTGTATCACATACGAGGCTGCCAACGTGTAGATTGCCAATGTGAGGAAATTGGGAAAGTTAAATCATTTAAATACCTTGGGATACACTTTGATGAAAAATTTACGTGGGAAAAACACATTCAAATTCTGCATGCAAATGTCAAAAGATCAATTAGAAAATTTTATTTCTTAAAACATTTTTGTGAAGAACATTTATTGAAAACACTTTATTACGCACTGATACATTCACGTTTGCAATATGGATTAATATGCTGGGGAGGTACTTTCAAAAGTTTCATCAATCGTTTAAGAACAACTCAAAATCATTTTTTAAGAATTATTTTTAATAAACAGTTGAGAGAAAGCTCATTTCCGTTATACTTTCAATCAAAAATAATGCCGATTCAGAATCTTTTTATATTTAAAGTATTGAAATTGTTTTATCTTAAAAGTGGGAATAATGGAACTGATAATCTATATTACAATACCAGAAGTGTAGATAATTTGTTTTACAGGACCCCTAAAGTCAACAAAGAACTGTTCAAGCATTCATATTTATTTTTGGGGCCTTTTGTTTTTAATATGTTGCCAATTGATATAAAAAGAAGTAATAATGTTAACAGTTTTTGTAAAAGGTTGAAAGAATGGTTATGTAATATAAATGATACTTCGTTGCTTCGTAATGTTTTAGAATAAAATCTATGTTTTCACATCATTTAATTGTAGAACGTTTTTTATATATTTTGTGTTCATTTGTTGTATTTTATGTTTATATATTTACATTTCAGTAAGTCAAATATGTATATTTTAATTTTTAGAAGTAGACTTAATTTCAATATGTAACGCTACAGGTAGCAGCAGGAGTGATAATTTTAGTAATGGATTGATAAGACTGAACTCTTCATTTAATGTATAGATAAGATAAGTTTTGTGTAACACTGGCCACAAATACTGGACAAAGTGGTCAGTTAATTTCCGAATTGTCTTATGATTTGATGATTGTTTGTTTTTGAGGAAATAAAATTCATTATTCATTATTCATTATTCTATACACTAGGGTTTTGTGTGTATGTGGTTATGATGACTGCAGCATTTAGCCAGATGGTTATATGCGTGCAGTTGCTTGGAGTCTTCCTTCATGGGTCACCTGTTGCCACTGGTATTCCACAAATACTTAATATTATTTGCGGCTTTGTATCATCATTATTAATGGGTTATTTTGGCTTGAAATTCAAGTCCAAAAAAACAACTTATATCCTGTTAGGATCGTGTGGCTTACTACAGGGTTGTACCTTACTGCTTTGTGCGGGAACTGGGAGTTGGCTAGTGGTGTGCTTTACGTATATATTCTGTGGAATATTACATAATGTCACCCAAATAATAGCCAACTCCGAAATAGCATCCAGAATTAACCCTGACAGTTATGGGCTAGTTATTGGCCTAAACAACACCCTGAGTCTTGTTTTCCAAGTTATGATTACAACCATGGCGGGGATTAAAACTTTTGTGAGCCCATCTACGCAGTTGACCTGCATTGGAATCACAGAAATCTGTTCAGGGATCATGTACATAACTGGTCTGTGGATAATGAAAAAGTTCAATGTCCCTTTGAATTTGGATAATGAAGACTCTGAAGCCCAGGCTAGAAACAGCTTACCAATGGCTGAGGTCAAGGCAGCTGTACCTCAAGAGGGTGAGACTTCATCAATATCATCCTGTGATTGGTTGA